GAGACGACTAGTGGTAGAATTTATAAATAAAGAACACAACAGAGGAGATAGTATATCGCCTTGCGGTACACCAGCCGTCAGCCCGCACCAGTCAGAGAGTTCCTGACCGACGCGAACCGCCTGCTGGCTACCACGAAGATAAGCCGAGAACCACCCCCGAGACGACAACGAGATCCTACGGTAGCCCAATGTCAGTATGTCCGATACAGAAATTGAAACGCTCTGAGCTCTGAGCGCTAGTCAGTAATTTTCTTTCAGGATAGGCGATATGTGCTCACTTATGATACTCGCTTTTTTTTGTCTCCATTTGAGAAAATAATTTCATACCTATTCTGTTGATTGGTACGCCATGCGGCCATGCATCAGGTAATATTATTTTATTTTTATAAATCCTTTCGAGTTGCGTCCCATTATGAGTTGCCATTTTTTTTACAGGAAATAAAGTATATTCAGCTCTATGAAGATTATTAAACAGTATTTTAGAAAAACAAACAGTCATGTATTTATTTTTATTTATTTTATAAAAATTGCGTACTCTCATCACAATTAAAACTGAAATTAATTTTAGTATAGGTACATAATTGTGATGAAAGTGATGAGAGATGAAACGAGGAGCTCATTTTTTATTTTTATAGATACTCTATTTCTATCCTCCATAATTTAGTTAGTTTAGAATATAAATGTCCATGCACATTTTGGATGTGCATGATAAAGTTAATAAATTCTATAACTTTTTCATTTGTCCACGCCGGTGACGATTTTGTCGATGAGGAAGCCAGTCTAGCTCGACGTACGCACTTGCTGCATGTTGCAAGAGAACTGAGCAAAGCGACAACGTGTGGACGGTATCGCGAACATTGGCGCAATTTCCTTTGATGAAACCGACACGAGCCGACCAACTGCCTCGCCCCAACGTTGGGGCCAACACCATTTTCTAGATCCTCTCGTTGGCTGAGTAGCGTTGGGGCCAATGTGTGGAGTCTGCGTAAGTGAACTAATGAACCATAGACTATCATGACCAATGACAATTGTTTTTTTTTTTCAGTTTCAACAACGGGTCTTTTAATTCGAATCAAAAAAGCCCGCGGAATTTAAATGTTTATTTAAAAAGTCTTTAGTCATTTTATCTCTCTCCAGTCGTGTCAGCAACCATTAAATTATTGAGTCTTATACTTCTAAGTAGGTCAGTAAGTTTTAAATTGTATTATAATTATAACCGAACGTTTCCAGAAACAAATCGATATAAAAAGACCAGTCCAGTCAGACCAAAGGGAGATATTTTAGTGTTTAGGCACATGTAAGAAACGGAATTCTTTACTTATGTGGTTTACACACCGTATACAAACACTCTGTCAAGTACTTTTTTCCTAAGTGCGACTAGAATCCGACACGATTATGAGACAGGAGGCAGATTAGGCATAGCACCAAAGTTTTTACGTGCTTTTTCGAGGCATAAACATGGGTCTTGATATATAGGCTGTTTGATGCATCGCATCCTATGCCCAATTGAAACGGTCGACAGAAGGGGTCAATTGCTTCAGCCGCCCTTCAGGTCCTTTAACACCCCTCATGTCCAGTGGATTTTTTTATCGACGTGTTATTGTTTTACTAAATAAATACCCAAATTATACATTGAAATACAAATTTAAACTACTTATAAGGCGTAGATCCTCATTTATAATTTTATTTTGATGTGTATTGTTCAAGAGTAGGTACTTTTAAATACAAAATTAGTGACATTAATCACTACTTTTGTTTTAATAGACTAGCAAAAGTAGCTATAACTGAAATTGACCAATTTTTATTTATATCTTTTGTAAACTTGCCCTCAATACTTTAAAAGAACGCGAGCGAAAGTGTGGACAGAAGCTAGTCCATGATTCAGCAGTCAGTTAATTGAATTCATATCCTTTCTTTAAAATCTCTGATTCTGATGCAGCTAAATACTATAATTAGTTTTTGAAAATAATTTTCTATTGGCAGTCAAAGGATTAACACATTGGATGCCGTGTCGGATAATGATGTCCGACGCTAGTGGAGGATTGGCCTTTCCTACCAATTTTAAATGTTGCTGTGCCCGACAGGGTCCATAATTGTTACTAATTGTATTTTCTAACCACCGGTATATGTACATTATGAATGCAATAAATACTTGATTACTAACAGTTTTTGTCGGCAGTTAAAAGCTTCAGATATAAGGAGTTTTTTGGTATGTAGTTTTTTTCACACATCGAGTTACATTATTGAAATTTCCACACGGTCTCCTTTTTTCTTTTTTATTAAATATAGCCTATTTTTATCATGAATAATGTAGGATTCAAAAAGTAAATAATTCTTTAAAGTGGTCCGGTAGGTTCGGAGCCTATTTAATTCAAACAAACAACAAAAATGAAATCTTTCTTCTTTATACTATTAGTGTAGATGTAGATAATTATACTAAGAGACATTTAATGATTATTTAAAATATCCTTAAGTAACGATTTTGTTTCGACAACAATTGTTAAGGACTGGGTTAAGTAATCATTAAATAATATTCTGAGTCTCTGAGTACAGCGGTTAGAAAGGAAACAAAAATTAAAAATAGGTGTTTATTGGATAAAGCTAATGAAACAAAAATGTACTTTTATAATGATAATTCCTGAAGACAATGACATTCATCAAATATTAAACAACTAGTATTATGTACTGTAATAAAATTATAATGACATGTCACCACCAATTTTCTGAACTTTAGTATACAAATAAATAAGTAAGTATTCGACATTTTCATTGAATCGCGCTAGATTTCTTTATCAAACTATGAGAAAAAATCCTAAAAGCCATACTATTACAAATATTGTTTACCTAATGCGATGATTTTAAGAAAACTTGTATCTAAATATTAATATTGTTTATAAAAACGATCAAGTATTTAATTGAAGACAAGGATTCTGCTTAGCAATTTATTACGTCTATAATCAGGTATTTTAATGAGATATGTCTCACAGATAATAATCAATAAATCTTTCCCATTAATCGAGAAAATATAACTAGCAAGGACATTAGCGTTAGTCTTCCCGATAGAAATAATAAACACATCTTAAGATACAAAATGTAGTGCGTAACATTAATTGTTTATTCTTATTTAACACCGTAGCAAATGTACACTAATTTACGTCTGAAACACGTCAGTCTTAAGATCCGTCTATTATTACCAGTGTAGTGACATACATAACTATTTACATTACTAACTAATATTGCGTTAGGAGACACAGTGGCAAGTATCGCACGCATCAACATAATCTCTTAGCTACAGCTTCATATAGTTGTCAGATGTTGTCGCAAATAGCAATACTTTACCTTGGCACCTAGATAATAAGTAGTTACGTTACTGTAGGTAGACCTGAATGTACTCAGTACCCTGACTCTCTATCAGAAGCTTTAGTTTGATTGAAAAACTTTGCCTTGTTATCTCAACGCTGCGATACTTACACTTTTTAAATAGGGTCAGTACTAGTGTTCCTAATACTACGATTATCTATTATTGGTCGTTGATAAGGTAAAGCTATTTATTTACCCAGTGCGTTTTTATTTTATCATTTATTATTTGGCGTGCTTGTAAAACACTTTTAAAATAGCCCGTAGAAGATCTCGGTTGCCGAAAAGGCGGTAGGGATTTACGCTACGTATTTTTCGGAAGACCTCTTTATCTGTTGTACCGAGGAGAGGTCCCTACCTATCCAATTTCGTTAGCATTACGAAACCAGTTTCTTGGTTAAAAAAGAGCAGAATAACTATATCAATTTGTTTTGGTAAGTTAATACAACTTTCGAATAAAAACACACTGTATAACTGTAATAATCTTAATTTTGACTTAATCTTAATAATCTTAATGACATTAAGTCGTCCTCAAAGGTAATAAATACTAAGTCCTAGGTATTTATTTAAAGGAATTAAGTTAATGCCTTATCTACACGTTATACAACGCACAATTTACTTATTGATCAGTAATAATGTAATCAATATTAAAAAAGCGTTGAGGATAGGTTCAATAAATATCATATATTATTTACCTATGTAAATGCATAAAACATGTATGTATGTAAGTAGGTACATAGTTTGACATCTAAAGAAATAAGTCTAATGTCTATTCTTAGACAAAAATATCAAATCACATCTAATCGGACGATAATAATAATAATTAATTACAGGGTAAAATTTATAGGTTCTAAGTAATATTAATACTAATGTATTAAAGCTTGATAACAATAAATACTAACTATTTAGATCGATGACCTCAGTTAAGTGAAACGTTGGGGACATTCTAATCTAATTTACAAACTTAGTTTATCGAACTCGGCGCCGTAGCCGTAAAAATGGTAAACATTAAAAACAGAAACAAAGCTTACAGGCTGCCTAATGGTATGTTCAAAATAGCCTATTTGTAGACACATGCACTCCATCATAAGAATATTACGAGTGCGTTGTCGACCATATGGGGATTGTTTGATTATACTCTCATGTTTTAAACTTCACTCTCTTGTCAACCGACTGTCTCTTCTAGTTACAAAATAATATGAGTAGTAACTCATCTGGTGCCTAGGAATTAACATTCCTATAAGAATAAAAACATTGAACCCTATCCACCGTACCCTCTCCTTTATGTATCTACTTGCTCAAATATCAATAAAATATATTTGACTCTTGCAAGCCTTAATTAAAGAAAACCTGTGTTATTAAATCAAACATTAAATTGGCTCGATTGTCGGTAAATTTGAATCGATTTTATTTTCTTTGTAAAACACCCAGACTTTGTAATTTGCGGGTACGTACCCAAGGGGTAGTTTCAACCAGTATTATGTAAAGGCAGGTATTAATAGATGAGGATGACTATTATTTTTGACTGCACGGTTGGTGCGGTAGCTGGGCAACCGTAGCGGGTTCGATTCCGGCACGGAACAACACTTTGTGTGATCCACATATTGTTGTTTCGGGTCTGGGTGTCATTGTGTATGGGAACGTGTATGTTTGTAAACGCACCCACGACACAGGAGAAAATCCTAATTTGGGGCAACGTTTTAATTGAAAAAAAAAGCGTCATTCACATTTCTCAATTTGTTGTAAGTAATATGCAACATTAGATAGTCTAGACAGTATCGGTCCATAAGTACTAGCAGATACAATACGAAGTAGGTAGATATTGTAATACATTGTATGTAACATATTATGCGCAAAAAGTTAATTAAGGAACGGTCATAGATAGTAGTGGTGTCGTAGAGCAAACAATACTTATGTTTACAAATTGATTAGATATGGTAGGTAAGTAATGCGTGGCTATTGTGTCCCGGCCGAGACTCGAGTGAGATAGATGACTATTATTTATTACTATTATCAGATCCTTGACTGTGCGTTGCTGGATCAAAAATATTACTTGTATACCTCTATTTATTGTGTATCAATGTTGTTTGGGCGCAAGAAGTGTTTTTTTTTATTAACTTTGAATAAAATGTCACTATATCGGAAAGTTCCACAAAGTAGCTGATCACAAACACACAACACCGCGCCGAGTTCGATTTAAGGGTTTAACAAATTTCAACAATCAACAAAAATATTTTAAAAGGTAACAAACAGTCTTTTCAAGAATTATCTTAACCTGATCAATATTCTAAATTCTAAGTAACAAAAATTGTTCGAGAACGACATTATAGGTTAAGTTAATTTTTGAAGTGAATAATGGTGTTAGATAGGATTGAGTTAAAGATCTTGGCTAGAACAGTTGTGCGCGTCAAACGGTTTAGGCGCCACGTCTTCGTACGGCGCGACGCGGGCAGCCGCGAGCTCGCGCGCTACCTTCTCCGCAGCTCCCATCACACGAAGAAGGTTCAGACCTGCTAACTTCTTAAGTTCCTCTATACTCCAACCTTCTTCCATCAACTCAGCGAACAGCAGTGGATACGACGACACATCCTCTAATCCTTGAGGAGTACTGTATGAAATAAATAAATACATGAATACATCACAACCATCATAAAATGGCATTGCCCCTGATAATGAAAGAATCTGAGCATAAAAATCTTTCATAAATTTTATAAAAACAATTTTTGATTCAAAAAGTTAAGAGGAAGTCGACTTCCGTAGGTATGATGGCCTACAGAACTATTAAACTTTTGTTCAAAGCTTTATCCTTTATAAAGCTTCACGCTTTAGGGATTTAGATTTTTATTGCTTTTGGTGCGGTATAATTTTAAACTCTTTTGAGAAACTTGGATAGGTATTAATATGAATATTTCAGCAGTTAGTGTTTAAATAAATAACTATTTCTAAATAAAACATACTTTCATTAACAGTACTTTTATTACGTCACGCTTTTTTCTTTTTCTATGCGCGTAGAGATAGACAGAGTGTACAAATTTCACATAAACAATTATGTTATGAATACTACTAGTAATAGAAGCTTATTTCCATACCGGGAACGATTCCAGAATACTATAGATAATATTTTTCTAAATCTGTAAAACATTCTAATATACTAATAGTTTGTCTGAACAGGCAATCGAACCCCTTGCACGCCAACTCGCACATGCGGTAACGAAGCAGAATAACAATTAGTATTAGTCAATATTATTATCTAATTGTAAAGGTATTCCTATTGGGAGATTCCACTCGTACATTATAGCAACGTGTACTCACTAATTAATGCCGTCGTAACCAGCGCCAAGGCCTACACTGTCCACACCGGCTACATCCCTTATATGATTAATGTGTGCTGTAAGAACGGAGTATCGGTTAATTAATGACCTTTGAAACCATTATTCAATGTAAATTTGTATGGGTCTTGTATTTTTTTACATTTGATTTTCATGTTCAAACGTTTCTTTACATGATGCTTACACAAGTAGGTAGTGCTTACTCACCAATGGCATCTTGAACTGTTGCAGTATCCTTACAAGTAAGGAACGACGTATAAAAATTGACCATGATGAGCCCTTTGTTAGCGGCGAGTAGGCGCAGCACAGCGTCCGGTACGTTGCGCGTCACATTGCAGAGCGCGCGCGCCGACGAGTGTGAGAACAGCACGGGCGCGCGTGACACCGCCAGCGCGTCGCGCATCGTGCGCTCGGACACGTGCGACAAGTCCACCAACATGCCCAGGCGATTCATTTCCTTCACCACTATCTGTCCCACCGATCAAGAACAATTTGTTAACATAAGATTGATGACCGGTAATAAGACCATCTACAAAGAAAAATGCGTAGGCTACTCTAGCCATTTTAATTGAGTTTTTTCTTCTATTCTTTTATCGGAAAATAGAGGCTTAAGTACGTCATTTACATAAAGGACGAGAAGAATGTTTTATAAAACGCGCCGGTATAAGCTATTGAAGTGAACTGCAAACACAGTTCCGGCTGGTTCTGGCCGTTTGCATATTTATCATAAAGTAAGACTCTATTGTTCCTGCCGCTTTTGAAGTTCGTATGAGTTTGCGTTGCTTTAAATTAATTGCTAACTTCTTGGAACCTTTGTGGTCGTGAATTCAGAAAGCCGACGAAATTACAAAAGCGACAAATTGTCGTAGTTAGACTTTATAGTTTCTGACGTCAGTGTCACCCGTTTGATTAAATAGTCCTAAATTGTTGTTGAAGTGCTTAAGTATTTGCAACGTCTACTGCTGTACGGGCGACGGGGGTATGGCCGAGTATTGCGGCGTCAAGTATTGAAAGTCATTTACTACTATCATAAAAGAGAATGAATATTGATGGCAATCTGATGATACATATAATTTACGATCGTTTCTTAACATTCTCGAGGGTAATTTTCAATGAATTTCGATTTATTAGAGTTAACTATCAAAAAATCACGGTCATTGGGTAACAACTCAATTATCATCAATGCCAGGCTAACATAGCTACTACTGATATTTTACAGAGGTTTTAAGTTGTTTACAGCGGTCGTCTATTAAGATAAGCACCGCGGGGTGGTTACATTATGAAAGGAGAGAGAACTTGTATTGCCACTTGTGAGGTGCATAATGTACAGTACGATTAATTACAACAATAAAGTGAACTGTTGTAGTGAGAGCTATTAAGTCGGTTGGGGTAGTAATACCCGACTACTTGAGCTCGGGTTGAGAGTATGACGTAGCAGGCAGGTACGTTACACCGTACACGCAGTGTGCAGTTTAAACAAAAGAAAATATTTCGAAAAGTATCGTTGCAGGTAAACAAAGAACTGGTTTCGCGAGCAGCCCGAGTTCATACAAAGAGAAATATTGCGGTGCGCCAGGATGTTTATGATTATGGCACACTCACTCTACTCGACGTCTCAATCTTTACGGTTGCGTTCTGACTACTTAGCTATAATATACGACTACTTGTATGTATTGTTATATTCCTTCGTATGCTGTCAGATTGCTCTTTGTGAGCACCTACGTTACCAACGTGCCATACAAATTGCTTTGTAAATGCTTTATAAAGAGTTTTTAGAAGCAATCTTCTCTGGTTACAATCTCTAAATTACGTCGAGCATATACCTAAGACAATAAATTCACCCCTAACGAGCTACCATTGTACAGTCTGCGAGGAGGATTATAACTTCATCTAATCTTAAGAGATTTAAGAAAGAATTAAGGGGAGATAACTCACAATTTAAACCCGTAAGAATAATCAAAGTTTTAATGTTTCACTTTTCAATCTGCATTTTAGATGTTTTATACAATTTTGATTAAATTGTAATTAGATCGAATCCTTGGTCTAAATGTTTTTTAACTCTCCTGCAAATCCAGTTATAAAAATAATTCTTATTAATATTAACTAAGTACAGTTATAAAAACCTTCATTACTACGTTTGTTATTCAAGAAGCGTATCCGCTACGTTTCGCGTAGCACTGTAGACGCTCGTAGCAGTTCGTAGCAATTTACGTAGCAGGACTTACCTTTCCGAATGGCGTAAGTCCACCTCGGGGCGATGGTTCAGGTTTATCTCCAGACGCGCATTCAGCCCAAGGCGTATCACATGTAGATGTAAGCGTCAGATATCGAACTCCAACTTGGTACAGCGTTCTTAGGACGCCAAGGGAGCCTCCTATTGCATGCCCTCCCTCCACTCCCACCAAAGAACACAGTCTGTGGTTGGTATGCGCCGTTATTATATCTATGATAATAAAACCAACATTAAAAATGTGGTAAATAATCTAGAAACACTTATTTCATAAAATGAAATGTAGAGATAAGTAGACTGTACGTGTACCTACGTACAGAATTAGTAGTTCCGTGTAACTAGAGAACGATAATAATATTAAATCAAGTATATTTTTGCATGTAAATGTATACTTCCGTACTAGTCGTTTCTTTCGTGAAGTACCATATTGTTATTTCTTTTTGTAAATAAGTGCATTGTTAAAAGTCTTCATTCACACTTTGGAGATAAGTAAATATTTTGTTATGTTTTTTTTAAGAGTTCGGAAGAGAACAAAACATCAAACAGATTGTCAGCGTAGAGAGGGATTTTGAAAAAAAGACAGTTACGGCAGGAAAATGCTTAACGAGGACAACGCTCATGGGGGACTGTCCTCAACACAAAAGCCCAAAGTTGCAGTTATAGACATTTACACACACAATGGTGGGTACACCACACCTTTAATTAAGAACATGAATGTAGAGGTCAGAAATATTCGACGTTATTCACGATACCAAAAGATTCTTGCGTAATATTAAGCTGTATTTTTTCGATAAATTTTGATACCGAGTCTATTATATGGTAATCAGCTCACCTCCGACTATGTTAAAAGTGAATATATTTTAGTTATAATAGTTTGCAATACTATAAACATTTCGCTTTAAAACATTAACGAAAAAAGATATATTTTTAAATACGTTTTCATTATCTAACAAATCAATGGATTAAGATTAAGTAGAATGACTTTTTTGATCTTTGTCATCATTCTTATTATATGAGTGTAATGATTACTTACAATAATTGTACTTAAGATGTCCTTTAACAATTGATTAACGTCTTTCACGTCTTTCAAGTACCTGGAGTTTTGTATTAATTTACACAAACACCACCGCGTTTCGAATACCTCGGTGCGACATTGTTCGCAATCCAATGTTAATAATACACTTAACGTGATTAATGGACTGAGAGCGATAAGGAATTCCAATAGATGCTCTAGCTGGAGCCAAGTGATCATCTCCAGCCTCCGCCCATAAACGTAACTCTGCTTTATATGCTGCTCTACGATATCATACTCTGTTAACATATACCACACTATTTAATTAGGTAATTAAACTTTATTGTTTGGTATGTAATGTAAAATGTAATAAAACTGGCTTATTGACTGCTTTCTGCATTGCAGTAATACAATAATTGAGTTATAAAACCACCTATTTTTTTATTCTACTTTAATTATCTTGTTGTTTATAAATATTCACTACCTCCTAAGTTATTCGTGACTTAAAGTTCCAGTTCCGACGAAAATTTGTTGAACTAAAAATCACGTTTTTGTTTGCGAACAATAAACGAAAGTCTAAAAGCCGTTTATTTTAATTGGGTTTATTTGAATAACAAGAAAAAAAAAACAATAAAGCTAAAGGAAATGCACGACTTAATTTAAACGGTTTAATTTTTTAAAGGCTACGAAGTGAAAACAATGGGTTTCTCATGCTAATACACCTTACGAATTTACATTTGTCCTTTTCGGATTCGCGCAACGTATCTACAAGTATAAGTACTCACTAATGACCGAGGGCATGACATGCACGAACCGTAATGTCTTTTCGGTAACGAGTTGTGTGTCGTGGCTCGTGAAGCGCTTACCTTCAGCGGAGGTGCAGAGTGTCAGCTGTGGGTGGTACTTGTCAGTGAGGCGTTGTATCAAGTCGATCTGTTCGAAGGTGAGCTGCACCGCGTCCCGGTGCTGCGCGTCGCATGGCACGTACGCGGCCCAGAACTGCCGACGAACGATCACTTTGACATATAACTGATTAAATATCACGCACGACTGGAGCAATGCGCTCAGAATTTGAATTCCCGCAGATACAGACAACCAACAAAGATTTCATAATGGAATCAGTGATGCCGATGGCGAACGCGACGCGACGGGTGGTGAACTCGCTGCCACTACATATTGTATGTACCTCTATATGTATGTTATACAAACACATCAGTCTCGTGGAATTGTGCGATGAAGTTGAAACAATTAGCTCACTATCATTTCTGTTTCGGTTCAGTGTAGCGTGTCCGCGATATTATTGTAGTTGGATATAATTATCATCACAATCAGGGTATTATTATGTCCATTTTATTGAAAATAATACAACAAAATGTAATTTATGATGAGACGTTGATTTTTGTTCATATTTCTACTTCTAAAATATGTAAGTGAATTTATTTTAACTTCATCATTGTAGTAGGTACCTACATTCCATACCTAAAGAATAAAATATCAAACGAACAGGTATAGCCTCCCAAGTTATTGGGTATGCAGGTAAAAATATAAGCATTGGCTCGATACAGAAATAGAACCTATTAATCCAATAATGACCTATATCAAATAACGTGGATATCTGTACGACAACACTTATGTTTATAAACAAAAACAATATTGCAACTTGTAATTCATTTCTAACACAACAATAACACGCTTCATTAATTATTAATTACGAAATAATGATACCGAATATCCTTTGATACCACAAAAATGTGGGTGTTATGATCCATGCGGCGCATATTAATCTTGTCGGGGGATTACGTGCAAATGGCCGACTATATTAAATGCACAATTAATTAAATCGTGCGGTTAAGGAATTCCGCTCACCTGTGCGGCCACTCGGCCTTGTTTCAGTCGAGGCAGGTCGGTGTGGCTCCACGAACTTGTTGCCCACGGGGATATCGTCCGCAAATCCTCGTCGAAACTATGCGAATTTGTTTCATTAGTACACAATTATTCCCGTCAAAAGTTATTTTACATGCAGGAATGTATTCAAACATGTTTATTACTCATTCCTACGTTTGATAGTCATGTCTGGTTACTGAATTTTGTATATTTAGTGTATTATTGAGGTTAAATGTGGATTCACAACGTATTTTAGGATTGTTAAAAGTATTGTGTGATGCGTGATAATCACGGGCAAACTTCGTGACCGTCACTTCTATAGGCTAAAAAAAAACCCCAGCGCTCATTGCGTTTACAATGTTGTTGCAAAAAAGAAATGAATGTAGAATGAAGATACTATGAAAAAAAGTACAAATGATAAAAATACTTTACAGTGTAGGGTTTAGAAAAAGTTTATACATATTAGCGCCTACCCACTTGATTATAAGGCATTATCCGCCTACTTGTAACCTTTCGCAAAACTTGTAATTCAAGGGTTGTTAAATAAAAATAGATCAATTTACCATCTATCTAAGATTAGGGCGCAAGCTGAATTCTCGGGATTAATTTATAAAGAACACTCCGAATATAGATAAGGTTAGAATAACTATCAGTAGGATTAAATTATGTATTATCTTAATCCTTTAATTAGATTATTATAATTACTGCGAGAATAAAATAGATTATTTGGTAGAAAAATAGATACAATGCATGTATTGCAGCACATTTTAGTAAAAGCTAAGAAAAGCATCCATATTTGTAAAAGTACAATTCTATTAACTTACATAAACTGACGTGAAGAAAAATAAGTGAATCCAAATTCCAAACAAACGTAAAACCAGAAAAATCTAGCAACATTGGTAGCAGAATCGAATCTCGCACCGCACGCGTCGCCAACGACTTGGCACTGAGCCAGCGTGTCTGTCAAGAAACATTTCAATTCTTTACGCCACTTGCGAACTATGATTCCACGTAGCTATTGATCTGCAACTTTGTTATAATGTTCAGATCACCTTAGGAGACGTTAAGATAGTTTCTAGGATACGATAGCATGTGATATATTATTAGATTCACTTGTCTTCAAAACTATGCATGAATTGTGTTAGCTATAAAGGCTATTTTTAGCCTAAGTTAAATACGTAAATGTTTTAAAGTGTGATTGCTTCACATAAGAAATCTATCTATTACTAGCTGGCCCGGCAAACTTCGTACCGCCTATTAATGTTTTTTCTCACCTTTTAAACCTTCCCTGGACTTCCACGAACATTTCAAGACCAAAATTACCCAAATCGGTTCAGCCGTTCTCGAGTTTTAGCGAGACTAACGAACGGAAATTGATTTTTATTTATATAGATAATTTCATTTTCTCATTATACGTTAGCCAATTATAACGTACACATTCAAATTTCAATGAAACATCAAATCTTTGCAAATTACACACACACTCTAACAATGGTAACAATAATGGCTGATTACCTTTCAGCCGACACTTGTGAAACAATTAAAATGTTAACGAGGTAATCTCTGAAAAGTCGCCGGCAACGGCATGACAACTCGACACGAACAAATCCGATTCGGATGTGTCGGTATGTCCAAAAGTAACACCCATATGCCGCTTGCTAATCCTTCACACATTTTTTTGGATTTACTCGACTGGCCCGTTACATAATCTCGCCTTAAGTACCAGTGAGTTATGTCTGCTATGTTACCTCACCTTAAATATTATTATGACCTTTCCTCAACTAAAGCCTGCAGTTGATATTTAACTGAAGATAGTATATAACCGAATATCTTATATAGAACAATATAATTAACAAATTAATATTCATAGGTAAATAATTATATTTATCTATCAAACATCGCGTAGGATGATATTGCTATAATTGCTAGGATCCCCAGGGATGAATAGGATCTCTTAAGCGGAACTTAGGGATCGAGGTTCTCATAAATACCAAAATAAGTGCAATAGATGATAAGTGGTCTAGAAGATCAAGCCCTGATCTTAAGTGCGCTTTTACTTGACTCGTACAAAGTGGTGATTAGGTTGGAAACTCGGAACATTACAGAGTACGCACATTAATGGCAACAGAACTACGACGGACGGATACGAGTAGGTACACAAAGTAAAGTTCACCTTTATTCCTTGCCGCTAGTGATGGGCGATAGCTCCGGTAAAATTGTTATCGACTAACTAAATTAAAACTTTCCAATGAACTTTCGGTAATAGTGTTGTTATTAGAGGAGTGAATTTAGTAATTAGGTGTGTAGAAAGAAGCTGATTAAGAACAATTATTCTTAAGACTAGTTTTTTTAACACATGTTTTCTTAAAAAAACGGTCAGGTAACTTTATGTAGTTAAATGTTAGACTAAAAACAATGAGTTTCTATAAAACTATTATTTGGAATTAATGAAGAAGGTGGACACATTATTACGAAATTATTACGTGCATCACTATAAGCTAGTAACGGGAGCGGCATTACGCCTCACAGATTTCGTTAGCTAGTTTAAAACAGTTGGGTTCAAAGGCTTTTACATTGCACTAAGTGGATTGATTCCCTCCCCATCTTTTATGTGCACCGCTCTACTGTTAGATATTTGTTTTAGTTTGGTTTGTTCAGCTCTTTGTTAGAACATCCTGACACATTTGCCTACTCCTGATCCTTTGTAGCCCTCACTTCGTGTTTGTCGAACGGAATAAAAGCTGGGACGACTCCTAATATAACACGTGTCCTAGATTTAACGGTTTCCAAGTAAATATAACTAGGTACTTGTAGGCGTTTGTGCTTGTCATAATTAGGTCTGGGTATTCTACAGGGACACCTAAGTATTTACGGTGGAATTTTGAGGCAGAATAGTAAAGGCACGCCGCATAACTTCACCGACACAGACCACATTTATAAGAGGCGGTCACGGTCAAATTTTAAACATATACATAAGTACTGAGAACAATCCAATCATCATTAAAAAGTTTTTATGTAAATTGCAGCAAACAAAATCGTTCCTAATAAAAATACATCTTTTGCATATAGAGTTTACGCGAAGTAGGTAACAACATGTTTGTCTTGAAAAAACCAAAGAAACAGATTTTTACGCTTTCATTTTTTTAACGCAAAGAGATTACCAGCCCAGAGCCTATAAGCTAAGAGTTGTAAATGGCCTTTATTATTGCCAAGTTAATGTAATACAATGTACTGCGGTTTTGGTTTTAACCAGTTATTTGTTTCATTAAAAATGTAGACAGTTAGTGATTTTATGTAGACACAATGTAACAGTGCTCTCCTTGACGGTCCCGTTCCTAAACTCCATACTGTAGGGAGCTAGACGTGTTTTTATGTACATTAATGTTGGTATATACATAAAGAAGAACAGAATATAAAAAATAATGAGCGGTACGTACTTAAAATCCTTAATTCTATTGTGTAGAAACTTCCTTATGTTCCAAGGTAGATCGTTGTGGCCGTCTATGAGTGGAGTGTCGTGTAACAAGCGCTCGGCGAGGCGTAGTCGCTCGTGCAAGGGTGCTCCAGGTGGGGCCCGTAGTGCCAGGGGCCCGGCGACACACGCAGTCCCCGCCACCAGCACCAAAATCGCCACGCAGCACCAGCGTCGATGCCATAAGGACAACCCTACACATTATTTATTTCAGAATTTACGCGACAAACTCAAACATATTCTGTGACTCAATCAGATATTCAAATGCTTATTCAAATATTCCAGTGATTGTTTTGAAAAGGGAGCCGTTTCGAATAAAATAACTTGTAGGGAGTGGGGAATTATTTTAATTTGTTATTTACGTACAGAAATGGCAGAGCGTAGGAGAGAGTAGGCATTTAAATGATAACAAACTTCCTAATGTCCCTTGTTATGGCAAACGAAAACTTGTGTAATGTTTAACAAGTGGCTCACAGTTGACTGAGTTTATTTTATTGAGCTATTGTGAAAATGGCCATAAAAATCAATTTGGGTCATAGCGAGCACTCGTTAGGAACCTTCCTATAATCTCCCTGTCAGAAGCAAACCTACTCGATCACGTCGCAAGCCCGGGCTGTACTGCCGGTCAAACTTAGAAACAGTACTGGGAATTCTTTGGTGAAGCAAAAATCTGTCACTACATTATCATTTGCCTTACTTCTGTTGATATTTTTTATTGGTAAACCATTTGGGAAATATCTATCCAACTTCTCATTGACTGGTTCCGAATTCCCAGTTGATTGTCATCTATTTCAAAAGACTTTACACGAAACAATACCTTTGTATTACATTTGGTATTACACATACATATTTAGTGAAAGTAACTATGGTTCTATTTCTTAGGTAGTTGTTGTTTGGAAGTGTTTTGAACCTTATCTATATTTTTTATTTAAATACTGAATTGTAAAAAGTATACTTACGAGAGGAGTTCCCAGTGGTTGTGGAGCTGTGGCTGGTGGTGGACGTGGTGCCCGTGGACAGCCACTGCGGAGACTTGCATGCGTTGCAGGACACCCGTCCCTGTCCGCGCTCTGTTACGTCGGGGGCCGGCGTCGCTCGTTTTTTCCCCTACACCATATTTATTTTTATTCGATTAACATAGTTACACAGTTTCTCTTACATATAGGTACGTAGTTGATGTCATTTTATTCAGCAATCGCCTCTGGGATGAATTTACGCTTCCGAGTACGTTAGTGGATTTCGACTGTTAATGCAATTTCAATTATTGTGAATCGAGTTTTTTTTGTTATGTAGGACTTGTGAATTCATATGAAAATGTGAAAATCATTGCATTCATAAAATTTGGTACTGCAGATGCCATTAAAAGTTTCCTCGTGTCATCAAAAAAGGCACTTCCAAGAACTAACATTGAATGTGTAGGATAGTATGAGTGAACACACTAAACCGATACTGGACAATTTTCAATAACTCAGTAGAATATTCAATGTTTGCAGCTATTATCCTGAATTGCATTAACCCATATAGCTTCCTTTCTTAGTAATCGTTAGATAATGGTTCATTATCCTTTGTGAGTGCGGCTATTAGCGAGTGCTCTAAATTTTGTAGTGCGAGTTCGCCTCCTAACCGCATATTCTCAATTATGCGAAAGCGTTTTAATAACACCTGCATTATTTTAATATTGAAGAAGCGAAGTACGTTTTGATCAAATATCTAACAAATTTGTTGAAATCAGTTGAAGATCACTTACTAGAGCTTTCTTGGAGGCATTCAGGGTGTCTTTAGGATTGATTTTGAAAACATAAAAGTTCTTTCTTCCGTAAAATTGATCTTTCTAAGTTTACTCAATGTTTATGCCCACGCAAGGTTTGTGTTAACAACCTTAAAGCAATGTTAGAGAAACACAAAATCATTTATCAACATTTACTGCTAAAGCGTCTGTTTAAATACCAACGAACATCGGTATTAAGCGAACGTTTGTAAGAAATGTTTCACTCACTTTCAAGTTAAATGGAAATGGATCTTGTTAAGTACTTACGTGGGTGTCGTAAAAAATAGACGGTAGTCTGGTTTCTTGCGGCGCCTCGCAGGTGCAGAGTGCGTGTGCGCCGCGCGGCCCGCTCATCGCCATCACGTCGCCCTCGAGGAACGTTTGTGCGTCGTCATCCACTAAATCACTGCGAGTGCTCCTCGACTCCATTGTGCTCTCGTCCCGCGTCCAAGTCTCCGACAATCTATCTCGATATCGTTCACTTGGAAAATCGTTGTATGACATTTGCCGTTTAATACTTTTGCACCGACTGCGATTGTCTAAAGTAGAAAATTTAGTTCTTTCTAAACCTGGTGAGTTTCTAGTGACAAGTATATCGTTATTATCAAAACTCCTCATTTTAATCATTTTTTGTGAGGTTCGTCTATTAACATCTGAACTTAAATTATAATCTCTGAGTTTATCAAAACATTGGTCCACATTCCCAGAAAAATTAGCGTACGTAGAAACGTTACTCTTCATATTATCATCCTTTCCTTGATAGCCCGACGAAGTAAATATACAACTTTGACTGTTCACTCTCCTTTGCGACTTGTCTGCCAGTGACAACATCGATGCCTTCTTGAGAGAGCTCGTCGACCCTGATGTTATCTCGGCCAGTTGGACAGCGTTTTGATGTTTTTTTGATATTGCCTCGCCGCCCATCTTTTTTAAGTTAGATAGCTTCCTTTTTATCTTTTGCACGAGTGTATTCCTAGGATCGTAAGATATTAACTGTTTTGAAATGTAGTTTGACACACCGATAGTCCTACTTTTGTTGTATTTTCTATCAAGGCTCCGATGGGATCCGATAGTGAGCTGGCTCCGGCCGGTGTCCCGTTTAATTCTTTCCAAGTCGTAGATGTTGAGAGTGTGGCCTCGCTGATCGACGTTCCGATGGCAATTGACAAAGTTGTTTTGTTGCACATTACAGTTACAAACTAGATCAAAATCATGTTTCGATATGTGTTCGTCGAGACATTGTCTTTGTGCAGCGAGGGCAAGGCAGGCCTCACAATCGACTCCAAGCAGGAGCTCGAGACTGGTGTTTCTGATGAAACCGTCGCTAAACGTGCGAGATCGGAAGTGAGCGGCGTTTTGTGTAAGGCGTGTTTCCCAGTCCGTGGGCGCGGCACCTGCTGAAGCCTGTCCGCTGGCTTCCCCGTCTACCATAGTGGCTGCATCACGGTTCACTGTGATAACTCGCGGCTGCCGGAATACTCTGCTGTCACTCCGCACGGAACTTCTTGACGGCGACGGCGACGGACGCTTGAAGCTTTCGACTTGGATCATTTCTTCCAATTTTGTGATAAATGTGAAAATGCCACTGTAACAAATATAATGTTGATCATTTTTGGTGTACACACTGAAAAACGTAGCTACTTGAACTAAACTGTAATTGAGTGAGAGTAAATATTTACGCACATTACCCAAGTGGATACGAAATGTTTATTTGATAAATTTTCATTTGTGGCAGTAGCATACCAATCGGTAAAACAAATAGATTTTCTTTTTTTGTTTACGCGAGCATGTAAACAATCCCGCCGAAGGTGTTTTACCTTATTTACATATCTATCGAAAGCGAAGCCAGTTTTAGAGTTACTAACAAACACTGCGTATAGAACGTGACGCGAATTCATATTGGAATCAGAACCACGAAATAAAAAATATATCGTATCAGCGAGCCGGTTTGATTAATAATTCAATAATACATAAATACAAGGTTTGCATGTATATCTGCACTCATAAACAATCCCCACATAACTCTTGTAACTTTACTTGGGAGCTCTCTGGTCGGGGAGAACAATAAACGCGTGTAGTCAAGCTTAATGAGTGATGACACACAGAGTGTTGTGTTACCCAGATTATACCCGAACTTCAGACAGGATAACAATGGAAATATCGCTGAGAATGGTCCAATATTATTATATTTTGGATGCTATTAAAAAGAATACCTCGTTTTAAATATAAAAAAAATTGTGTCAACCACATACATATACAGTTATGAATAGGTACAAACACGAACATAGACAAGGGCCATTAACACCATCGGATATCATAACGATCTGTGAATTTCAAAGCCGGGTTTAATTGTTTATTCTGTAGCACACCAAACATTTGAGGGCACGGATAATCCCCAATCCAATTTAGATGATTGGCTTAGTATGATACGCAATAAATAATTTTCATTTTATGTTATGGGATGACAGCTATATACCCACCCTTTTGTATAAATTAATACGTGGCTTTACCCACGGAATACAGAATACATCGTATTTCTGATTTGAAATTCCACACTACAGGTAGGCAGAGGTCAGAATGTTAACTGGTGTAAATGTCTTAAAGTTTTGGGTCTAAACACTTCGTAAAAGATATGATGAGCGCTTGAACTTGAGCGAAGTTGAATAATGAGCGATCAAAAGTCTAAGTCTATTAATTACTTGTTAATAAATAATCGAACGGTATCAACGATTTTTTTTATTAGACTTATGTATGAATACATAAGCTATTAGTATAATAATAAATGAATAAATAAATATTTTTTACAGAGGTATTAGAGAACCTAGCTATCTAGTTGGTCCGGTGACTGCAAGCAATTATTGAAGTCGAGGAATAATCATTCGGGTTAAGTGTTACTAGAAAAATATTTACTGATAAAAATTAAGTAAGCCTCCTTACTATAAATACATTTATGAGTACATTCAAGACGTTATGTTAAGTTAATGATCAAATGTTTGTCTTCATAGTACAACCACATTGGCTGCACAATAAACGTAGTCGGCTGCCTAGAACTGAACTCCGCGCAAATTTATTTCTGTTTTAAATGACCCGAGCTCTCGCTACCGACCCTTGATTTCGCGTTTTTTAATGTTTACTCTACCGTATAAGTTCGGCAGTTAGCCTAATTATACCTACGGAAATGTCTTTGTGTTCAAAAAACTTTATCTGCTATCACAAAAAGAAGTATTGTTCACACTTTAATAATATTTGTATTCAAATTATTACTGTAAAGGAAATATTTCTATGAAACTTGGCAGCGCAGAATCTACAGTTTCTAATTATTTTTCCAATACTAACGCGAGCGTTTTGCATCTGCAAAGAAATAAAAAAACAATATGTATGCATTTCTCCTTCTATTTGATGCCATAAAAAGTTACTGCAATTAAATATACGAAACGAAACATCTAATGTTTACGCAGAGCCTCGTATCCATAGCGGTACAGTGGTGTGTACGTACATTGTTATACAAGATGAAAAAAGACAAACTTGTTGCGATTGTGGGGGGATACGTGTGGCGTAACAGTACGTAAACAGACATTTTCCATTTGGTGGTGTGTTTCAAACCACGCAGTGTACGAACGCGATACTGTAACTTGTGTAACTTTTTCTTTTGAGTATGTTGGTTGACCACTTCTGCGGCTCCGATCGCTCTACAAACAACCCTTGTCTGAACCTCGTTACCAACAAGATTCACTATACAAATAACTCAACTGCCATTTTAAATCACATTAAACTGTTATAAGTGAAACTTAAAAAGATATGCCCTCAGCTGTAATTAGTTTTCCTTACAATTTTAGACACAAAAGAGGGCCTGGAGGATACTTCAGCGTCTTTTTCGATGGTATCGGCATGAAGTTCATTGTAATTATAGAATGAAAGAAATTTTCTCTCGTCTATTCTGTGTGAGATGTCCTTAATTGCGTAATTCAATTATTTTACGTAGGTATGAAAGTTAAGTAGGTACCTATGTACTGGAAATGTCCCGTGTAGTGATTTTCGTGCCCGTTCTTATGCAAATTTGTTTTGGCTGATGACATTTCACATTATATTACGCCTGTATTTCAAGGTTCTAACCTAAAATTCAATTTGTTGGACACTAGATTAGAATGTTGTGGTTTTATTAAGCATTTTGACCGTGGCCCAAGCAACACACAATATTTTAAAATCCGCAGCGGCCATGTATTCGGGATGTTCCCGACATACGTTGATAAAGTGGGTGTGTCGGGTCAGTTATTGTTTCCGTCTTCCTATAGAACAAGCTTGTACGCTCCCAAATCAAATTGGAACTAGTCAGACGAGCGAATAGTGTAAACGAACAAGGAATATATTGAGGGTAAAACAGAAACAATTGATGAACATGCCATGCCATGCCACTCATGCCAGTCTGTCTATGCAGAAAGTGTTAATTGGTGACATAGATGTTTTGTGACATAAATGTAATTAAAATACTAGTGTAAGTACCTAACAATTAACATGACACAGAACATTACCAAAAGGTAAGAACAACAAAGTAGTACCTTGCCAATTTTTAACTCGAACGATGATTTCCAATACAACATACGATAAAGTTTTCATTGCTGCGATATTAAATATCGACAAGGTTCACTTTGAGAAGTCGAATCTTTGAGATGTCAAATAATCTTTTTGATACACGAAATAATCCGTTGCTTGATGATTTATGGTCACTCGAAATATTGCTTAACGCAACCGCTACGAAGATTTCTATTTGATATTGTGTCAAAATCTGTAAACAAAAACCGCATACGTTCTCCCAAAAAACGAAACCAAGATCAGTGGAAATAGAATCACGTACTAAAGCCATGGTTTCTGTTTGCATTACGGTATTCCTTCCACCCTTTATAAATATATAATGTATCCCTACATAAACACATTTATTGGAAGTTGAATAAAACATTGGCAGGCCAAATATATCTTATTACATTAGATTTAAGCGCAATTTTCAGTTATTCCAGATTGTTTCGCGGCTAAATTTGAATAGTTACGAAACTTATGATTATTTTTCCGGTGCCATAGTGATGACATTCGCGATGCTCACTATCCGCGACAAGCAATTGCAGACAACGACATGAATAGAAGATCCCTACGAGACGAGAGGCAGCCGCCCCGTACGACGACTGGAATAAGCCATTTCTGTTTTATGTTTGTTTTGCTCAGCCACGACAATACTCCCATTGTGTCGACTGCATATTTCAACATTCATTATCAACAGATTACGGCAATCTGCACTCCATATTGTCAGTTTGTGATCTTTTCAACTGTAACTATGTTTTTTTTTCCGCTACATACTTAAATGTAGACAGATTTTTTTTTACTAACATAAGTTGTAATTACATTAAATATTGGTCAGTAAAAAAGTTTAAGATATCAAAAAAGAGGAAAATTCAATATGGCAAGCGCGCAATACTAAGAAATGTAACTTCATTCTTACGCTACGCTCAAATAATTTTACAAGTATCTTTGTTTACGAGGTCCTACTTTATTCATGAAGGTCTTTTTAAAAATGATTTTGCAAATGAAAAGAAATCGTTTGGGCATAATTTATATTTTACCAAAGGCCTTCTTGGTCAAAATATTCATTTTAAAAGTATCTTTGATAGTAGAAGAGATCCCAGTAGATGTAAAACATGATATTATTACGATTTACGTTATGTTTTTTTTATTACTAAACTACACATCTAATCTAATCTAACCTTATAAATTATGGTATGGCCTTTGATAGTACCATGTATCTCACCTTAATTACAAACACATCAGAAGAAAAAACTACACGATGTACGCATACGTGTTACAAATACCAACATCTTTAGATGGACCTTCATTGTTTGACCATCTTTGAACACAGTTCCATTAACAGAATAATGGAAATATCTACAGGAGGGAAAATGAAATGTGGAGAAAGATTTCTCTGCAGGTAACTAAGCGGTCATTTGTAAGCGGTCGAGAAAAATGCTCACTCGTCCAGAAAAAATAATCGAATGAATGACGGCTGTGTATACATATACCTAATGCGGTTTGTGGAATGAGCCGATCTCAGTTACACGATTACACAATCAAGCTAAGACAATCGACTCCCATTTTAAATGTAACCACTTTGACGAATTAAATAATTATTGGTACAACACACTGATTGGCAGCTTACGCCAGCCTACTGATTGGTAATCATTCTCCGCTCTTGTTCCCAATCTACTGTTTATTCTGATAATAGAACGCGGACGCGATGAGAGTCGATCGCGAAACTCGAAAGTCACCCTCCAGGATTACTGGAATTTTGATTATCTCGAGCGATTTTTTCTTCTTTCAATTAAGTGAATGGGTAGATAGGGTATTAATTCCAATACAATCAGTAGATCGATATTACACAAAATGAATCCTGTACAGTTTTAGCGCGTAGGTATACATAAAGGTTATTAGCGGTAGGTTAACAAATCTGTAATCTCATTCCCGGGAATTGGGGACGTACCATTAAATTAATATGAGTGTTTAATTGCAAAATCCAGCCGCCATTTCATACAGGCATGTGAGTTCGAATATTTCATATTAATATAGGATTATTTTCGTCTTATATTAAAAAAATAATAAAACGAAATTAATACATTTTACTGTTACGTTGGACATGAATGGAAGGAAATAAAAACGCACGTTCCAGATTTCAATTCAAATTTGAATTTGGATAATTAATGAATTTGGATCAGAAAAATAGTGATATTTTATATTCTACTCTATCAAATTTAACTTAGGGTGACTGCTCTATGACTCTTGCTTAATTATTGGTTGATTTATATTTGTGGTGTGAACCACAGACAGATAGATCCGGGTTTGTAATTATCAGCAAAAACTACTTTAGATGACTACACGAGTACAACTAGCACGTAGTCCTTGCGAAGCATAAAATAGACAAACGAAATATTGAAAATGGTCGCCCATTTAAAATCCACACCGTAGACGCACTCGATATTAAAGGCGATTGAAATAACCACAACCTTCATATAACATGTGTGAATGTATGTGTCAGGTATCTATTTTAAATGCTACATAACTATAGATGCATTTAACACTTGGATAAAATACTTTCGTAATCAATTCCAATAATTAATACTTTTGACATAACATAACATCACGCCTTTTATCCCCGAAGGGGTAGGCAGAGGTGCACATTACGACACTTAACACCAACTTTTCACTATTTATGTTATGAGTCCCATGTAATAGGGGGTGAGCCTATTGCCATATAGCGGGCACAATTCCAGACTCCGTGCTACTACTGAGAATTTATAAAAAAACCCAGTAATACTTTACCCGACCCGGGAAACGAATCCGAGAACCCTTGCCCGGCAGTCGCAATTGCGACCACTGCCAACGAGTCAGTCATTTTTTTATTTCTTTATCTAAATATTTCTTTATTTTTAGATAAATAAGTATTATCAAGATGATCAAGATCTACAGTCGACTATTGATGATGCAATAGTCATTGACGGTCCACGGCTAGACTGTATACTAACTCTAAATAACAGAGTATTCCATAATCTTCACGCTTGATTAATCAATTGGTGTTCGTAGTTCAGAAGATTCAGATTTATCACAAAGCGGTACTGCAGTGTCTGAGATATGCAGATATTAAGATGAAGAGTTAAAAAGTCCTCGTTTAGATGCCTTCTATATTTCTTTATACGTATAACTCGTAAAGCCATTCAGAGACTGATTTACAGCAAATTTTCCTCATCTCTGATTTCATCTGGCAAGGAATCTCCGTGCGAAGCTCTTTTCATACAAGGAACGCTGAATGAATGAGCTTATTCATGAAGCTTATAAACCACGTTTCAGTGCTACCACTAATTATCCACTGGCAATAACATTGATTAGAATTTTCGACTTCTAACATTCATTAGGTACTTATCGATATTTTATTCGGAATATTTATTCTATTCGATTATTGGGTTCAATTAAATTTGATTTGAACTAAATCATCAAATGTTAAGTTCGTAATTAGTTATAATAAATAGAAATTTACAATTAAATATAGAAGATATATATAGAAAACATAAAAATTTCTCATGAAAGTTACAATACAAAAATAGAAATAATATTTAAAACACGAATATCACAGTTTACCTTGTAATTATTAGGCGTGATGTTATAGGTGCCTTATACTCTCTTTTGATATTCAAGCAGATAAATAAATAGTTCAAAAAGTTTGTGCGCAGCATGCCACCGCCACATACAATTTACACAAAATTCTCCTCAAATAAATTAACGTAAAAATATTCCTAGAGACATACATTTCGCAGTTTCCTAACTTTTAATTGCATAGAATTTAATTAACGAAGTTGAGTGAAAAAGTGTAGTTAGTTAAAATTCTTACTCTCTTTTATTACAATTGAAATATAAAATTAAAAACTAATTTACGCTTTGAAAAGGATATAAATACAAGCTGCAGCAACAATATATCAATAGTTATCTTAGTTAATTTTCATGTTTAAGAAGTTTTAAAATCGTATCCACTGATATCTACATCACTGAATCAATAGTCAAAACGATAATTATTTGATTTTCTCAATACCTTAAAATAATGTACATCTTTGTCATAATAAACATTTATAAAAACTATCTCACAACGATTAAGAAAACTTTACTACATAATATAGACCAACAAAATATAAAATGTTTGACTTAAAAGAAAATATTTCAAAGGCTAAAAACATATATATCTACTTGTTATAATTGTTCAATTATAAACAAAAAGTTTACTTCCTAGCATAAAACAATGCTTGATCACAAAAGAAAAGTTTGTAAAAGTTAACTTTATTTGTTTAATACTTACACGTAAATCAAAAATGAAAGAAGAAATCACATGAAAGTTTCACAAATATTAATTGTTCCACAGGTGCTCCCCATGATGTTTTAATGTGACATTAGTCTCGTTATTTGAACACAATGGTGGCCGTATTAACAACGGCATGCTTTAGTAGCGGCGGTGTAGCCGAGCCCGTGCTACGGGTGGAAGGTTACATTAGGCGCGCGCTACGAGCCAGCGAGCTACGACGTGCTACGCGTGGTTATAAGGCTACGTCGAGAACGCGAGTGCAGGCTGGATCCCGGGCACGAGCGGCCGCGGGAGGCGCGAGGCTCGGACTGGCTCCGCTCGCTGCTCGCTGCGAATAATCCATACCCGAGAGGCGAGGAGGCTGTATTTACCGGACCGAAGGGCGGTCGGGCAAGCGAGCTCCGACTGCTCCCGCCGCCGCCGCGCCACCGCGCCGCAGCCGCCCACCACGGCTGCGTTGCACGCCACGCTCCTTCATGTTGACACAATTTCAAATAATGTCACATAATTTAGGGTCCGTACACTGATTGCGCTTCGCACGGTTACGTAAAGGCTCTATCGATGGATCTGACAACCATTAAACGACCCCATTTTTGATGTTGATTTTCTTAATTGAGTTTCAAAACTAATGTAACTTTGAACGAACTCAAATAGTTACTGAAATAAGTCGAAATTAATTTTAAATCACAACTTTCTTTAATGTAATTCAAGTACTTTCATCTGTGTTTTAATTCGGGGCAATAGAAATACTTAAGTATCGGAAACGAAGAAAGTGTTAATAAAAAAATGTAACGGGAAGTTGGCAGAGGACGAAGTGTCCTGGACTATAAAAATAATGGCAAAGAAGTAAAGAGAAGGGGGAGAGAGGTGGGTACCTGATTGCGTGCTTATCTAACTTACAAAGAGTTGAGAAAAGTTGAATTTGCAAGTTTAAAAGGCATGTTTTACCACCTGAGATAAGCGACAACTGCGGATAAATTTTAAAGTACGTTCAGTGACTGGTATACCGTTACTTTTAATTTTACTTGAAGTTTCAGAATAATAGTAATAGTTAAAGTAGTAATTACTTTAGAAGAACGCAGCTAATTTATTTTCTTTTCTATAATGATAATATTAAAAAACTTATCTCCAAGTAATTTCGAACTATAATTCAAGCAGCTTATAAGTATAATTTAACTGAAAACTACAGACTCTTTTGTTTTTTAATTCATCTTTGTTTATCAGGTGTATCACTAAACAAGTGCAATTGAAATTAACTTAACTCGACTAATATTTATTGATACCTTGTTTAAAATCACTGTTTATAAATGACTATAATATAAGGGTGGACGCAACATAAATCCCATGTAGATGCGGTTAAGGTAAATCATAAAGATGCGATCGGTAATATCGTTTTTATTGCCTCTTGTAATTTAGCAAATTCATCATTAGCACCGGTAATATTGGAATTATTTGGGCAGTCAGTTCTTTTGTTACATATCATATGCGTATATAGGGCCATGAGGATAATATCTACTTACACCGTTGTGGATTTGAGGTATCTATTAGTGTAATTAAGTAGTTGTCGTTTTTGTTCCATTTCTGGGGTTTGTAGTGAGTGATGATAAGCTTTCGTAATTTTAGTTTCAACCTACATAATTTACAAAATTCGACCGTGAATGACTGATACTTATAATTCACATTAAATGTAATATAACGTCGATATTAAATCTCAACAAGCAATTAAGTTGAAGCATGAATGGAAATTGCATATTTTCCTCATGAATCAAATTAATTTGAAGGGGTTCTTGAAATTAAGAATCTTTTCACAAAGTCAAAAAGTGGTGAAGCAAACAAAGTCCAGCGGCGCGAGTTTCTTGTTCTTTGTTGTTCGTATAACAATAAATAACGTTGACGTGACCAGTTTATTAGTAGCTGCATTAGGTGAGGTAGGTAAGCTCTACGAACAAATGAGATTTCGGGTATCGGACGCGCTTCTGCAGATAGGATTCCTTAAATGGGACATCTGGGAAAATATGCCAACAAAATAGCGTAAAATATAAATTTGTCGGCCGGTTACTTTGCTCCGATCGCGGCTATCAGTGCCGAGTCCTGTTTGTTTATTGACCATATCCTTTGTGTCCAAATGGCTTTTGAGAATGATTTAATGCCCGCGCACTCCCGGCCTGCTACGTTTCGTACAATTTTTATTCATAACCGCAAACAATAACCTTTAGCAAATCTAAAATGTTCATTTTTATGTTGCGGTATGAAATGTTTTCATTCAACGAACCCGAAATATTTTATATTCAGATTTCTGATCAATCCAAAACTTTGGGATAAAGAGTAACGCTAGCTCGTAAAACCTTAAGTTTTATTGCAGAAGGGAAATTTTCTGAGAAATATATAAGATTTTTAGCAATTCTTGTAGGAAACGGGAGAAAGTGAGGCCCGGAGTAAAGTGTATGACACGAAGGGCATTGGTGCCTCTTGAGAGTACGGTGAGATGTTTGGGTCGCGTCACTGACGTGTTCGCTTATGAATGCTTCACACCCTTTTCAATACAGCCACCAAAAGAATTTTACACATAGATGCTTCTTCAGTAACCTTACGCTATTGTTATTCTAATAGAATTTCTGAAGATATTTCTGTTGCCATTGTTAATATTTATTTACTTACACGTGCGAATTTTAGTAGCTTACCTTACCTTAACACAAAATAACTATAAAATGACGTACGTTATGTTCTATAACTATAATTTGATATGTTACCTTATAATTCCAAAAAAATTAAGTTAATTAGATACACTCGTACGTATGTTTCATTAAGAAATGAACAATAGGGCTGACGTCTGAGATAATGAATCCTCGTCGCACGCTCAGCTGAAGTCGGCGGTGCGGTGCGCGACGCCTCATTACTAAACATAATACACATATTGAGTATCGTGTGAACAAACATCGTCGCTTGTTATCCGCCGTTACTAAACACAGTAACTCTATTAGGAAGGAGCGTTTATGGAGTATAGTTAACCTTAATCCACCGTAAGCCTACCTAGCAGTAAATTTACCAGGGAATATCTATACGCTGCTCGATGTGAACATGGACGTTTCACCCGGCAGACGCTGGCAAACTATGTTGTTTTAAATATATTTTTTGGTGCATGAAACTTAATATCGTGAGTTAATTTTGCGAGCTCCTGCAGGGCTTCAGATTAAAAATTTATACCGTAGACTTGAAACAAAGATGTACTACAGCTGGAAGTACAAAAATTAATCTATTTAGGAATATTTAATTTGTTATTAAATATACATTTGTGTTGATCATAACACAAGCGTTCATATGGGTATATAGAACTTATTTGTTTACACGAGTCCTGCATCAAATCACTTTATAGCTCTTAATATACATATAATTGACTACCAGAGCAAATACTACGAAAGGGGCGGGATAAAAAGGCACGTCAGAAGACTGACAGACAGACACCGCCGTGATTCCATTAGTAATTCATTCTACAAATGGTTTGGTACACTAAAACACGTATATAAACGAAGAATAGAGAATATTAACGTAGAAAAGTTTTCGTACGGCTCTGTTTGAGGTCAATAATGAGAACGATAGTGAATGGGATTACTCAGCACACATGGGTCTCATCTATTGCACTTACGTCGAGCCGTACCTACTTGACGTAAAAGTAAATGTTTGCATTGTACCGAATCGATGTCGCCTTCCGAACTTAGTCATCGTCGCGTACTTACAATAACATTACAAAGTTGAGGGTCGCATAAGTTCTGTGATAAACGGTGCAAAATATAGTTATCTTGATAGTTGCCGAAATAAAATGGCGCATGTAAGAGGTGGAGGGTTATGTTTTGTTACTAACTTTGGGCATTTGGGCCAAAACACATCAAAGTGATTGTCGCAATGCAAAAACTTATACCATATAGGCACAGCTAACGATGACGCTTTTTGCTCTATGTTGTCATACCGCTAGTAGTTAGGTACCTACATATCTTCATCATTAATAAGTAGACATTACTGAAATGTATTACCCAATATTAATTATGCAAACCTTATTTGATGCTTTTTTTTATTATACTATTTATGCTGTGTGCTGCACGTTTTTCACAACTTCCGTGTTTGTTTAGGTATTGTATATTGCAAACCTTCTTTGCTATTCATTAAAAACATAGGTACTTTATGTGTGCTCTAGTAAACCACTAAACATTCACAAAAATTGTGGTAGGACGAGGCCGCCTTTGTGAATTTAAATACGGAAATCCACTTAAACTCCTCCAGAATGTAAAACAATGTGTTTCTACGTAACTAAACAAAGCTTTTTTACATGTTGCACTACTAGAAATTGCTGCAAAAAGTTTAACGTAATCCTTGTTGGTTCAAATGTTCCGTTTCTACCTGTAGATACACAGATTTGTTGATTTTTATAACTAAAATTAAATTACTAGTTCATTCCAGTTGTGAGTACATGGTTATTAATTACCGTTTTCACTAATTGTTACTTTTCATAATAATGTATAATGAATATAATTTTATGGACACATTCAAAATTCAAATCAAATTGTATGAACACCACACTTCAGTTGTTACAACCTTTACTTACAAACTTAACAATAACACTCTCTTCTCCACACATGTTTTCGGCTGGAAATGAAAGAACAACTAAGTAATACTTTTCCATGTTTGCATACAATAAAAGTTTATCTCTCCAGGGTAGAGCTTTGTTTTTGCTTTCGAAATTAACTACTTCTTCGGATTCTGAGAAACCTGTTTAATATACAACCCCTCATCTTATTGCTCGCTAGCCTTTGACTGTGCTTTTATTCTCGTTGTCTTCATTATTCATAATAAGTCAGCCTTATGAACTAATCTGGAATACTTTCCTTTCAGAAACGTTTTTACCTAACTCTCACCAGAGCCGTAACTGAGTTTCAAACTTAATCTTGCATACATTCATGTAAGACGTTTCTAGAAGTTTTAGTTGCTACTACATACATCTAGTCATTTAGGCATTACCGTTATCTACCCACCTAAGTTAAATTAACTATTACGCAATGTTGATGTTGAGAGAAGCCAGGTTTGTTCCTCCCATTCGTACACACCAACGCAAAGCAAACATTAATCACGGTACTTCCAGAGTAATATACCAACACAGGACGTATTCTTTGACTCGCTAAGTAAACGCACGTCAAGAG